GGTTGGCGGCCAGCTTGCCCAATGTGCTGGAGCGTGCAGAGGTCGAGGACCCCATGTGGAACCATCTCGACTTTATGTACAGTCAGCATATCAAGAGGCTGGTGTTGCCGAAGGTTTTACAATATCTGTCAAAGTACAGTGAAGTCGAATAGGAAGACCAAGCCGGGCGCACGGAGACAAACAAGTGAGATATGCGATTATCTTGGATCTATTAGGATTTATGATTATTTCGTAATAATGGTCTTCAAAACACGTTGTCTCTTTATAAAGGTCATTGTCAAATCTGTAAACGTGATTACAATTGTCATTTGTTATCTGCTCCGTGACGGCCATGTTGATAGTTTTTTAGACTATTATTATTTTTTGTTTTTAGATAGAAATAGTTATTGAAACATTTACAGTTTAGGAATTTACACTTGGAATGTACAATCAGCTGCATTAAGTCAAGCTGCTAACTGTACATACACACATATATGTATGAAAAAATTCTTGACCGACTGACCAGATGGTCATTCGTTTAATTATATCTGATCTTACTTATCTTACTAATATAAATGAGAAAGTTAAAATGGATCGATATTTGTTAGAAGCTATCTCCTAAATGGATGGATCTTTTGATGTGGGCTGCTTTTTTAAAACCGCGCGGACGGAGTCCCGTGCTACTGCTAGTAATTAATAAAAGGAAGTAAGGTTTTTCTTTTTTTCTAGCACGAAAAGAACAAATGGCCTTGACTTCGCTTGCTAGCGAAATAACCACTGCTCATAGACATCTAAAGGTTATTGATGTATTGAAAGAGGAAGTTACTAGAAAGAGGATATCTCCTCCTTTTTTTCCGTCCCTTTCTCTGCCAAGCTCTCTTCGTCTTTTCTTAAGTGGATTAGTGTGAGCATCCGAATAACACACGTGTCAGAGGAAACGAAGCTAATTCATAATAGCTTAGATTTATTATTATACTTATAGAAAAATTAATATTAGCCGAGTGCAAGTTTGCCAAAAGGTCCGCTTGCACTAACATTGACCGGCTACCTCGTCTGCCTAGCACCATGAGTTAATGCGTCACATGTGCACATCAGAGTAGTTTCTGCTCTGACCACGAATTGTACATGGCTTTTTTTTTTGATAACACGACGGACACGCTGATATAATTGAAATATAAAGAAAGTTATCAAAATGTGTTGCTAAGGTAGAGCTAGTTGATTATTCACACTTATTTTATATCTGGGTTAATCGCTTTATCGTATAATTTAATTCGACAACTATTTAATCAAATCAACTTTTTTGAAGTGTTTATAAGTTCTAACTATTTCCTTAAAAAGGGACAGCAAGTTCACGCTTCACGTACTTTATAGGTTGTATGAAAATTATTAAAGCGTGCGCACCTTTTAACTAAAAAATCGCACAACCATTTAGTCTCGCTTTGATTCCAATGAGTTTATATTGAATGGAAGTGCACAAATGAGTTGTGAAACAATCGACAATCGCACAACAGAGTGCAATAGTGTCAGGTGTGCGCACGCTTTTGTTTTAGTCTGGCTATGGACGCCTGATAAAAATTAATAGAATATTGTTTCTAAACGAAAATTACATTATTTCTCAAGTAAGCTAAAAATGATGGCAGCGCCTGTAGAAATTAATTAATCATGATGATGTAATGAGTTATGTTTAAACTATCTGTTGCCTGCGACTTCGTCACACGTCACGGGAACCGTAACTATTCCCAGGATAAAAAGTAGCCTATGTGTTCTTCCATACTATGTTCTTATCTGTGCCAAATTTCATGGAGATCTGTTCAGCCGTTTAGGCTAAAACCCTAACAAAAATCCATCCATTCATCTAAACTTTCGCATTTATAATATTAGTATGACTAGCATGATTACTAATGTAGGGGAGAATAGGGGGCAGGGGTCAAAGAAAACACGTCGATATAAGTCGAAGTAGGAATTCCCCGCACTTGGAACTCGCCCAAGAGCAATTGCATTTCGTATTAAATTCTCAAGATCTCACAAGAGCTCGTGCCTTTTGTTGTATTTCTAAATGCTTCTAAAACGTTTTAAAAATGTTATTGCTGTTCTAATTCTTATTTAGAATAACTCTTTATTTTTTTCATTAAATTTCAGAAATTATTTAAAATTCTTTTTTTTGTACATTTTAAATGTTTAGTTATAATCTTACTAATATTATAAATATGAAAGTTTAGATGGATGTATGGATAGATGGATGTTTGTTAGAGTTTGTAGCCAAAACGGCTGAACGGATTTCGATGAAATTTGGTATAGATGTAGAGGATAGTCTGGAAGAACTCATAGGCTATTCATTTTTGTTTTTATTTCATTCCACGCGGACGGAGTCGCGGGCGACAGCTAGTTCGTTATAAAACAGAAATAACTACATTACGATTGTTGAAGATATCACCGTTTCATAAAGTTATATTATGTTCGTTTTAAAAAAATAGTAAATATTCCACGCGACATATTTATGTGAGTGTTAAAAAATTAAAGGTCGACCCTATTGAAGGTTTTGTTATCTGCATAAGAAATGCTACCGGAAACAGGTTTAAGTGTTTACTTGAACACGGTGAACAACTTTGTTAGGACAATAAGTTCCGCTTTAACTTAATTGATACGATTTTTATTTTTCGTACATTATGTATTTTAAGTAAAAAATATCAGCAAAAAAAATACTTTTGTACTTTACAGAAATTGAATTCACATACAAGCAATATAGTCTATACATATAATAAAATTGAAGTGTCCGTAATATGTAAAGAAAATTCCACATTTCTGAAAGATATATTTGCGTTGCTAATAACGAAAATCGCATTTAAAAAAAAGTTTGTCTGTCTGTCCGCAAGCCGCGTTTGTTCTAGGCAATCTCCAAAACAACTGGACAGATTTATTCACTTTCACTGAAGGGTAGCTGACATAGACGGGGATATTATAGGCTACTTTTTATCTTAATATTGCGTGGACAAAGTCGCAGTCAACAGCTAGTTTTAAAAGTAAGATAAGTCAGTACAATCAAGTGATATGATTGTGCCCTTGAGCTTGTAAAAAGAATTTCACATTCCATATCAAGGCAAGGTATTGTCAGCGACAGCGAAACTGCACCGAGATTGCCTTCCAATTGCAATTAAAGCGAACAAAAGATTTTCAGTCAGATTTTATTACTCTTGTACGATATGACCTCATGCTATTTTATTATTTTAATGTGGGTTTATTATAATCTAATGGTTCGATAGCAAAAGCATGTTTTTTAGATAAGGAATCATACAAACATTTTTCTATAACTTTGACTGATAAGATTTTACCGTAAACTATTCGCAAATAATAGTATTGAGACCTACCATTACAAGCAATATTATGTTTACTTTTTCAATTACAGTATTATTGGAACCTTCAACTTGTTAATGCGTTTCAGTAGAATTTCCAATATCGCGTGAAAATGCCTTACGCACGAACAAACAGACGCAATCGAAGTTTATGCAATATCACTGAGCATTCCGGTCGCCCGTAACGTCGACGTCCGCAATCAGTCGACAGCATGGCGTCCAGAGGCGCGGTGT